CTTCTTTCGTGCTTAGCAACCTCCCGCGTGCATCCATAACTCAATAGTGTATGCTGTGGTGTTTACGGCCATTTGTTAATTTCAAAACAGACCCTAATGTCAGCGAAGAAGTGTTTCTGTGAAAACTTGTGCTAAATTTTTGGTTTTATTAAATTTCTCAATAGCAAGCTTTAGATTCAGTTGTGTTTACTTTTCACTTCCTCTGACTCCACAACTTCAGTGTTCTGTTTCCATCTTTCTGACTGTACGTCATCTTCAGTACTTATGAAGTATGACTGAGTTGACAAAGCATCTAGAATAAAATTTAAAAGAAAACCAACTGCATGAGTTTACCATTCAGACTCTAAAAACTGCATTTCCAATAATATATTGTATGACAGTTACACAGATCTTATTACTGTGTGACAGATAACCTACATAATTAATTAATTTTATCAAACAAAACTACTGCTTCCTGATATCATTTCCTTGTTGACTCTAATCAAATAAATTTTTATAAATAATTAAAAATAAAATTTAACACAGCCAAAAGGAAGAAAAGCATTATTGCAAGAAATAATTAACTGAATTGAGTTTTTTCTTTCAACACAAAAATAGACAGACCAGCAAGTAAAGAAATCAAAAAAGTTCAATCGACTGTAAACTAAAATTTAGATACTGATCATCACTAACATCTTGCTAACAAATCACTTATAGCAGGACTTAGACAGTCAGCACATAAACTTTTTCAATAGACAACATGTTGTCTTGATAGGAAACTAACCCAATTCTTCATATTGTAACAGTTTTAAAACCCACTCCATAATGAAAGTGAGATACACTTTTTCAAATATTTTTTAGATGATCTGGTCTTGTAGGGTACAAACCTCTAAATGCAAGTCTCTCAAAGTATACTTTGCATGCATTGTACTCGTCTATGTCCATTGTTGTTTTCAGCTTCAGCAATGCCAAGTTAAGTTCCTTCAAGATCTTTTCAGTTACAAAACAGTTTTGAACCACTTCACCAAGATGACCAGATGAGTAATTTGTCCACAATTCCTCCAAGATCTGAAGAGATTCACACTTCACCGTTATCACCAAACTACCTTGATGAAAACCTTTGATGATGAGTTGCATTTCTTTCACGCATTCCATAAACATGTTGAGCTCCTCACTGGACTGTAGAGGTGTATTTTGGAGCAAATTTCTTGTTAATAATAGACAGACTTCCTCTCTGAGAGCCTGGAGATGTTCTGTCTGTGGATAAGACACGCTTCCCAATGCAGCTATTGAAGCAAATGCCCTTGGCTGCTGAACCTCCTGCCTTCCCACAGACTCTGTTGCAAACATACCAGTCTGCACATTTTGTTCTTCAGGTTTGAAGTCTCCCACATTAACATTAATATTCAATTCACCATCTGTTGAATTGTAACAGTCAAATTTAATCCTACTCTACACCTCTTTCCAATTAAACCCTTAAACTGCAAAAACAAATGTTTTGTGGGGAAATGCTATGCAAAAACCTATAGCCAGTGAAAGATAACAGTTGAAACTGGTTCCTACATGTGTCAGGGCCTATCTCTCTCTAGATACTCTAGGAAAAACATTGATTATTTTCAATCCAATCCTAGGTAAACTAATAGGAATTTATCTCAGGAAACTTTATCATTGTAATTATTCCCATCCAAAATAAAAATCACCATTTTTGCATGCTTACATGTTCAAAATTTTCAATATATACAAATCTGAGCATTTTATTTTCAAGCCTTCTGTAAGAAACTAATTTTATTGAAGATTACTTGTATTCAATTTAATAATTTTTTTTTACTGGGCCTAAGAGGGGAGAGAGCCACAATATTAGTGTCTCTCTTAAACATCTTGTCCTTTTTCTGTTTGATTACTATTTTTTATAATTATAAATACAGTCCCTTCTTGGATAAGGATTATTGCAGTCACTGTGATAAAGTGAAAGCGGTCATCTCAGTAGTTGCCACAACACTTAAAAACGTTTTCTTTCTATTTCCGAGCAGACTTAGCCAAGGTCGAGTAAGTAGGCTACCTCTTATTGTTTTAATTTCTTACAACACCAACTCATCAGGATTAGATGCTGGGTGCTGCAGATTAAAGAAAGGCTTCCTCTGGCTTTCTTAGAAGCCAGAATAGTCAAAATGGCAACTAAGCCTAAGCCCATCAAAACATCAATCTAAACAACACAGACAAACCAATGTGTGGAATCAACACCAACCCAAAAGTGGGTGGGAAGGTAAGAAGTTAAAGGAAACAAAGCAGGCAAATTACAGTAGCAAGGAAAACGAAGGAAAAGAATATTCCAATGCTCCTGCAAAATTTCTCTTTGGGTTCCCCACATTACTGTGGTGAAACCACTGCACTGCATGACCTCAGGTATTAGCCTTACCTAAATTACATTTAGCCTCAATAAATTACTAGATTGCAGTGATAGATAAATCACAGTAACTGTTACCAACATGACATGAAGTAAATATTGTCATAATTATTAAAAGGAGGATAGAAGAAAGTGNACAGCCAACTTCGATTCATTGGAAAACTTTCCAAAGATCCCAGGAGTGATAATCTCCACCTTAACATTAAGGAGACTTCTGCTGTACTTCTGTTGTAGACGGGAGCCGACGGCGACGACTGCATCTGCTGCTTTAAACAACTCAATTTCCATCTTGTGCTTGTCCTCGTTCTCTTCGATCGTATCTACTGCAGCCGTGGTTGTTTTCTTGTATTTCCCAAGGTCCTCACAGAAGACGTGGACGAACTGAATCCATTTACATTTTGCAGCTCGTACAATGTGGCACGCTGGAGTTCCAAGTTTTCTGCCGTGACCAATGACAACATGTGGATGCTGAAGCTCGGGAGGTGGAACTTTTAACCAGTCTAAAGGATCACGCGATCCAGGAACAGTCTCAGCGTTAATTAAATTCACACCATGTTTTTTGGCATCTTCTCTGTCTCGATCATCGCTTCTCGAAACGTAGCAGTAGATTTTCATGCTACCAGTCGTTATTTCGGCCAAATTAATAACAAATTCACGATTGAAAGTTGATAATCCACCCTTTGAAGATTTCCACTCATCACAGAGAAACATAACATCAAGAAGCCTCTGTTCTTTCTTCTCATCTTCGCTGCTCGCCGCAGTGGACACACTCGGCCCTGTACTCATTGTTAGTATTTCTTTGCTTTCAATAAGTTTCACTGCACTAAATTTCACAATCAAGGAACATTCACCTCTGACTCCATCGTAGGCATTTCATGCACGTAAGTTTTGCGTATCGCTCTATGTTGCGGAAGTTGACAGGAATGAAAAACGTCTGTGCATGCGCCAGAGACCCGCGGTAAGAAACGCGGGCTCAGGCGCGCGCTTATTTAAACTCAATAAATTTTGCGGGAAATGAACAGCCGTTACAAAAGTTTAAAAAATAAGGAAGTCGTTAAAAAGATAAGGTTTTAATTCTCATTTTTGAAAAGAAGAAAACAATTTAAAAAAATTTAGAGGGCGTAAAAATTGTACAAAAACTGTTCTCGTGCCGAAAAATGTTCTTTTGTGCAAAGTTTCAATACGGTTGCCATGCAACTGTCTCAATTTGCGGCAACGTTTACAGTGTCGTGTTGGCTTTTTCTGATCACTTTTTCGTCCGTTCATGCAAAATGTTGGTTTGTCGGTAAAACAAGGAAGATTAAAGAAGCTTTTTACGGCACTTCTAGGCCTCTGCCACTTGGTTTGGCAAGCTGTGAACTTGCCTGAAGAAACTCCAGTTTGTTTACGTCATCGTCGAACGATCGAAATTCGAAAAGGAAGATAGTGGCTGCTCATCGTCGTTTTCCGACCGACATTCCAATTAATTAAACTTAATTCCCGTAAGCCTTTTCGAAATTTTGGACATAAAGGGAAGAAAGAAAGCGAGATATCAATGAGGGTGCACGTGGTGTGACGCCTGTGAAATTAAATTTTAACAAAGTGCCGAAGGAGACTGAGCTATGGCGATAACAGATGGATTTCGTTGTGAACTATGTTGACTCAAAATCATGCATTTGGTTTTGTTTTGATTTAAATCTAGGAAAGGGGCTCTTTAGGATTGGAAAAATTGCGAAAAAAGAAGTCACTTATTTGTTAAGCAAAGTTAAATATCTATCATTGCAAAACGAATTACTGTTAATTTTTCATAGGTAAACTTCCACTATTTTAATATTGGAGAGAGGGAATTTTTCTGTCATCAGTATCTTGCAAAAGTTTCATTATTTACTGTGTTGTCAAAATCGCTTAGTTAAGTTTTCATAACATTAAATTATTTTGGAATTTACTTTTGTGTCTGCTATTATCACCATTCAAATTCAAGACAGATACCAGTAAACCAATTGTCAATGATCAAAACCAGCTCAGACCAACCCATCCTTAACTCCCACCCCCCATCATATCAATCAAAATATTCAGCTCAAAATTTTTTTTAACTCATAAAAACTTTTTGGCTCCCTATACCTAACCTCTTCTATTCCTTTTGCCACCTACTTTTAATACTAACCAACATGTTATTCATCTCCCTCATTCCTTTTCCTCTGATTATGACTATCTCATCTTATTTCATTCTAACCTTCCTTATTATTATTATTATTATCATAAATTTTTGTACTGCCTTGTAAATTGAATATAAAAATAATGAATAAACAAATCTGTCAAAGAAATCTTTAAAAAAACAAACAAACAAACAAACAAACAAGCAAAAAGGGCTCTTTCCAATTTTCTAGAGACTAAAGATTCCTTTATGGAGCCCTTCACAATAAAAATCTTTCATCTTCCTTTTTTCTTTTCTTGTGCATCTTTTTGTCTTTTTATGTTGTATTTCTTCATTTTCATTTTATTTCCGGTGGAATTATTTTAAGTTAAGAAATATTTGACCCACTATCTGCAGGTCAAAGGAATACCTTGTAGATATCTAAGAAAATAAAATAAAAGTGTGGAAGTGTGGACCTACAATGCTAGTACCCAATTGAACTACTGATAGTTTTTATTTTAATGCTGCCTTATGACTGACATAACTGCCTTGCGGTTTGTAGGTCCCTCAGTACAAATTCTCTATTGAACAACTAACATTTTATTCTCATCATTTCACACTTTCAACACTTGCCACCCTCGCGCTTCCTTTCCCCTTATTAACCCACTATTTTGGTGGAGATTTGGGAACCCTTTCATTTGGGATTCCATACTTTTACACAATCAGTCAGTCAATCAAGTTTATTGTCTATACGTGAGGCATGGTTACCCAGATTGCCCAAGCCAGAGGCTCATGTATGAAACATAAGACAGCAACCCACCCATCCCACCCCAGGGGAGGACATCCACCACACAGTAATCTCGTGCGTGGGAAATTCATGTCTCCTACCTCTAACCCTGCAGGAGACGGGCGGATACCA